GGAGTTTGGGGGGGAGCTTCTGCAACCATCGTAGGGGCCGAACGGTTGCAACAGGAACGACGAAGGGAAGGGCAAGAAAACACACGAATATGCCGAAGGCCTTTTCACTATTGCTTCGTCAGGGCAATAGTGAAAAGGCCTTCGGCATATTCGTGTGTTTTCTGGGCCGAACGGTGCATAATCTAAGACAAAGTGAAGGCAGAGGAGTTTGCAAACCCTTTCCATAAGCATTAAGGTATATACACGTTTAAGTTTGCAGATTCATGAAGAAGTAAATGCCATTATAAAAATCTGATATACTCCCAAATGGCTTCTAACAAAAGTACTATGGCAAAGCACTGCGCAACCTCATCCTACAAACTTGTTCTGCTTCAGCAAAATGTTTCTGTGTCAGCCTGTTTGGTTGAAATGTCGGTACAGGTCAGCTGAGATTTAATTCACTCCCAAGCTGAATGGTGGAAAGCCAGTTGGTACTTGCAACATCCCTGCTGCACCACCAACCCCCCAGCTGCAGAATTTCATTTGTCTCCCCAATACTTGTTCCAATATTCAGCCGCTAAAAGAGGACCCTTGGGCGAGTCCCTGTTTTGAACCACACTGTCTATGAACGACGTAAATAAACTTACTTATCCTGCCAAGTCTTGAAAAAGAGGACCCTTGGGCGAGTCCCTGTTTTGAACCACACTGTCTATGAACGACAGTGTGGTTCAACGACTTATCCTGCCAAGTCTTGAATCTATTGAACCTCCTCTGATCGCATACCAAACTCTCAATCTCCCACACATTCCTGAACGTTATTTTCGTGGTTTATCGGTGAAATATATCATATCGCACACGGAACACTCGCATCTCCCACACACCACACCATCTTCTATCCCTGTTTCATCCATGAACCACATCGTTTTATCCCAGACCAAACGCTCCCATACCCTACAAATTACTTCCCGTTATTTTCCTTGTTTAGCCAGTGAATTATTTCCCCCCCCCCCACCTCTTCTCTTCCTTCTCCTCCTACCCTCTTAAATACCCTTGCGGATTCCAGGGACAAAGAGGATGAGGAGTCAGGTCAGTGAGGGCCTTCAAACCCAGGTCTCGAAAGGGGTCCTCAGGGCCTCCTCCTTCCTCGTTATTAGAGGAAGATGGAGCAGCCGCCTGTGTCTTCCTTTTCTTCTCTTTTATTTCATTTTCTTTTCTTTTCTTCCTTCACTTCCTTTTCCTATCTATTTTTTTATTTATCTATTTTATCATTTATCTATTATATATTTTATTATTTATCTATTATATATTTTTATTTTTATCTATCTTTTCCTATCTATTTCCCATCACTTCTTTTCCTATCTATTTTTTTCTTTCCCTTTACTTACACAGAATGCTGCTGCAAGACCCATATTCATATTCGGTCCCGTGCACAGCTGTCAGGGCTTCGACGGCCAGCTTAGCCACTCGGTCCTGTCATGGGAGGAGGTATTTAACTGTTATTATCACTATCATTATTGTTATGATGATTATTATCATTATTATAGTTATTGTTATTCTCATCATCACTCTCGTCATCATTATCATCTTTATTATCATCTTTATCATTCTTATCAGCATTTTGTCATTATTATTATCTTTATTATCATCATTATCACTAGGACTATCATCAGCATTACCATTATCATTATTATTGTTATTATTATTATCAATATAATCAGTATTATCATTATCATTTTTATTATGTGTTTTCATCACTATCATATTAATTTCTCTTATCATGATTTTATTATATTTATTGTTACTACTGTTATTACTGTTAATATTGCTACTTTTATCATTATCATTATTATTATTATTTTCATCATTATCATTATTATTATCATTACCACAACTATTATTATCATCATTAGTAATATGACCATAATCACCATCATCATGATAAATATTATTATTATCATTATTATTATCATAATCACTATCATTATCATCATGTTCATTAGAATTCCTATTACAATTAAGAATAATACACACATACACATATATACATATACATATATACGTGTGAGACATACACAATATGTTCATATAAATATATACACAATGTATATATATACATATATACACAATGTTATATACATATATACACAATGTATATATACATATATACATACGTACATACAAAGAGATAGATCAGTCAATACAATGAACTGCAAGACAATGAAAGGAGACGCACCAGTTCCTCCCAGTCCCCAGGCAGGTCCAGCGTGTGTCCGAAAGGGTACATGAAGAGCTGGCTATAGCTGTGGAGCGTGAGGTAGGCCTGCGAACGACGAGGGCGCGCCAGTCTAGTTATTTATACATATCTAGTTATTTATTAGTTATTAGTTATTTGGCTAGTCGATAAAGCCGATAAAAATTATGTTTAATAGGCGGGGCTTTGGCTTCAGTGGCCTTATTGTTGTTCTTACCATCACCACCATTATCATTATCACCATCTATGTGTACGCATTAACAAAGCCACATATACACACTCTTACACACACACACATGTGTACACATACACATACAAACACAAATACACACACACATATATAAATGTGTGTGTGTGTGTCTGTATATGTGTGTGCACACACACACACACGCCTTACTATAAGCGATATTTTAAAACAAATTCGTGCAACATTTTTTCCCAGTAAGTCCTGCATATATATATATATATATATAATATATATATATATATATATAGATAGAGAGAGAGAGAGAGAGAGAGAGAGAGAGAGAGAGAGAGAGAGAGAGAGAGAGAGAGAGAGAGAGAGAGAAGAGAGAGAGAGAGAGAGAGAGAGAGAGAGAGAGAGAGAGAGAGAGAGAGAGAGAGAGAGAGAGAGAGAGAGAGAGAGAGAGAGAGAGAGAGAGAGAGAAAGAGAGAGAGAGAGAGAGAGAGAGAGAGAGAGAGAGAGAGAGAGAGAGAGAGAGAGAGAGAGAGAGAGAGAGAAAGAGACAGAGAGACAGCGAGCGAAAAAAAAAAAATAGAGAGTATACAGACATCCTAAGAAAAAAAAAACAGTTTTTTCAAAAGACAATACACGAAGAGAGAGAGAGAGAGAGAGAGAGAGAGAGAGAGAGAGAGAGAGAGAGAGAGAGAGAGAGAGAGAGAGAGAGAGAGAGAGAGAGAGAGACACAACCACCCTTGACGCGGCCTCTGTGTGCCTCCATGTAGTCTGCCAAAGCCATCGTCTCGGGTTCGGACAGAGCGGAAGGGCCGGCGTAGATCTCCGAACACGGGTTGTCGCTGGCGCCGACCTCTGGGAATCGAACACTTTCATTTTCGTTTCATTAAGAAAGTGATAGAGAAAAGGGCAACCTCGATGTGGCTTCTGTCAATGTTATTTATTACTTTTACTATTTTTTTTATTATCATTACTTTTATTTTTGTTGATATTATGTCTATTGTTTTTGTTATCATTATCGTCATTATTAGTTATTATTATCATCATTATTATCATATCATCATTATATCATCATTATCATTATTATCATTATCATCATTATTATATATTATTTATATATCATTATCATTATTTATATTATAATTATTATTATTATCATCTCCATTAATATTGTTATTATTATCATTTGTGGTAGTAGTAGTTTTTGTAGTTACTGAAGGAGCAGTAGCTGTAAAGTACTAGTGGGAGTAATAGTAGTAGTAGTAATAGTAATAGTAAGTAGTAGTAATAGTAGTAGTAGTAATAGTAGTAATAAGTAGTGTAATAGTATTAATAGTAAATATAGTAGTAAGTAGTAGTAGTATAGTAGTTAGTAATAGTAGTAGAGTAATAATTAATAGTAATAGTAGTAGTAGTAGTAAGTAGTAAGTAGTATAGTAGTAGTAATAGTATGTAAATAGTAGTAGTAGTAATAGTAGTATAGTAATAGCAAGTAATAGTAGTAGAAAAAGTAGTAATAGTAATAGTAGTAGTAGTAGTAATACTAGTAGTAATACTAGTAGTAGTAATAGTAAGTAGTAGTAGTAATAATAGTAGTATTAGTATTAGTAATAGTAGTAGTAGTAACAGTAGTAGTTAGTAGTATATAGTAGTAATAGTAGTAGTAGTAGTATTAGTAGTATTAACAGTAGTAGTAGTAATAGTAGTAGTAGTAGTAATAGTAGTAGTAATAGTAGTAGTAGTAACAGTAGTAGTAATAATAGTAGTAATACTAGTAAGTAGTAGTAAGTAGTATAAGTAGTAGTAGTAGTAGTAGTAGTAGTAATAATAGTAGTAGTAGTTATATATAGTATATTATTAGTATTAGTATTAGTATAGTATAGTAATAGTAGTAATAGTAGTAATACTACTAGTAGTAGTAATAGTAGTAATGGCAGTAGTAGTGGAAGTAACAGAAACAGTAATAGTAGTAGTATTATGAATATTCACATGACCATTACCATCATTATTAGTAGCAATAGTAAAAGTAGTTGTAGAAGTAGTAGCAGTATTAACAGTAGTAATAGCAGTAGTAGAAGTAATGATCGTAGTATAATATGCCGCATATAAATAATAATTGTGTATACTTAAATTTTCCTAACGAAGGAATAATTATACTAGAAGAATTAACCAAAATAATAATGATAGTAATGATAGTCATGATGATGATGATGATTATGATGATTATAATGATAATGATTATTATAATAATGATACTGATGATTGATAATAACAACAATAATGACAATAATAATCATGATATAATTATTATGATTATACTAATTATGATAATGATAATGATAGAAATAATAGTTATACTATTACTAACAATTAAGACAATATTAATAATAATGATAACGATAGTAATTATAACAACAATACTGATAATGATAATAACAGTAATGATGCTGATAGTAATAATAGCAATAACAATGATAATAATGATAATTATAATAATGATGATAATAATAATAATGTCAACAATAATAATAATGAAAATAATGATGATGATGATAATGATAATGGTCATAATAATAATAGTAGTAGTAGTAATAATCATAATGATAATGTTAACACTGCTCACCCATCCAGTGGAAGTCGAAATTCCTGTTGGGATCGACCCCCTTGCAGAGACTTGTGCGGTTCGAACGCGTTTTTGCGCCATAAGCGATCTGGGAGAGAGGGAAAGAGAGGAGGGAGGGAGGAAGGAAGGGGGAGGGAGGGAAGGAAAGAGATGAGGGAGGGGAAGGGAGGGAGCGAGGGAGGAGGGAGGGGGGGAGGAGAGAGGGAGGGAGGGGGGAGGGGGGAAGGGAGGAGGGAGGGAAGGGGAGAGAGAGAGGGAGAAGGAGGGGGGGGGGGAAGGGGAGGAGAGAAGGGGGAAGGGAAGAGGGAGAGGAGGGAAGGGGGAGAGAGAGAGATAGGGGAGGGGAAGGAAAGAGGAAGGAGAGGGGGGAAAGAGGGAGGGAGGGAAGGAAAGAAGGAGGGAGGGCGGTAAGGAAGAAGGAGAGGGCGTAAGGAAGAAAGAGGAGAAGAAGGAGAGAGAGGGAGAGAGGAAAGAGAGAGAGAAAGAGATGGAAAAGCGTGAAAAAAATACGAAACGAGAAATTGCCTCTAAGATACATATTTGAATATGAGCGCACACATTTTCCTCATATACCAATAACCAGAATCCCCCACGATCCATAACAAACCCCGAACTTTAACCCAATGTCATTTTACTCTCGCACTTACACCAGTCCAAGTGTACTCATAGCCGTCGGGGTTCATGGAAGGGGCGACGACCCACACGGCGGAGGAGAGCAGACCCGTGGCATCGTGCATGAGGGAGTGGAAGGTGTAGGAGGCCACGGCAGGAGCTATCCACTCCCGGGCGTGAAAACCTGGAGGAAAAGGGGCGTGGGGAGCGGGCGCGCGAAAGAATATGGCATGGGACTCGAAAGGACGGGTGAGAAACGACGTGGAGGAGGACGTGGTATGGGGTGCGTGGAAGGGAGGGAAGGAAGGTGGAGTTCTAAGGAAGGGATCGTGTGGCGAGTAGGTGGAAGAGCACGAGAGGGAAGGTGGAGGTACATGAGAGGAAACAGAGGGGAAAGTGCATGCAATGTGGGGTACATAGGAACATGGGTGGTACTATAGAGAGGGGTACATAGGATGGGAGTATGGTACAAGAAAGGGAACATGGGAGGTGCACAGAGGAGAGGGAGGGAACAGTGAGGAATATAGTGGATGGTGGAGAACAGTAATAGTTGGGTGGGGTTACATGCAAGGAAACACAGAGGGGTGTGTGTGAGGTTCTGTGGAGACGTATGCGAAAGGGTTAATGTTTGATGCACTATGAAAAAAGTTACGGTGGTATAGTCTCTCTCATTCCTTCTCTCACTTACCCTCTCCCCATCTGTCCGTCTATCGTCTATCCGTATTCGCTGTTCCTTTCTCCATATCACATTCAGACCTCATCTCCTTCTCCCCTCTCCCTGTCCTGCTTTCTTTCTCCTTCTCCCCTCTACCTTTGCTTCCACTTAATTTCTCCCTCTCCCTCTCCAATTCCCTTCCTCTCCTCCCTCTTCCTCGCTTAATAACCCCACTTCAATCCCTTTCCCTCCCTATTTCTCCCTCCATTTTTCGCAATATCTCTCTACCTCTCTCCCTGCCCCACTTTCCTTCTCCCCATCTCACTTTCTCATCCTCCCCTTTTCTCTTTATCTCCTCTCCTCCTCCTTCCTCCTTCCCCTCTCACCCTTTCTTCTCCCCCTCCCTCCTTCCACTTTCCCCTTTCCTCCTTCCCCTTCCCCTCTCCTCCCCCCTCCTTCCTCCATCCCCTCTCTCCTCCCTCCTTCCTCTTCCGTTCTCCCTTCATCCCCCTCTCCTCCTCCCTCCTCCCTCCCTCCTTCCCTCCTCCCTCTCCTCTCCCTCCTCCTCCCTCCTCCCTCCTCCCTTCCCTTCCTTCCTCCTTCTCCCTCTCTCTCCTCCTCTCTCTCTCCTCTCTCTTTCCCTCTCTCCCTCTTCCCTCTCTCCCTCCCCTTCCCTCTTCCCTCTCTCCCTCCCACCTTCCCTCTTCTCTCTCCCTCCTCCCTTCTCCCTCTCTCTCTCTCCCTCCTCCCCTCTTCCCTTCTCCCACTCCCTTCTAACCAGCGTCCAGGAAGACGATGGGTTTGGTGTCTTCATCCCCGTCCCTGGTCAGCCGCAGCGCCTTGATGTCCCTTCCTTCCCACGTCTTTCCGAGACTGAAGACGGTCGCTACGTCGGGGTGCTCGGAGGCTATGTGGTCCATGTAGTCGTAGATCTGTTTGAGAAAGAGAGAGAGGGGGAATATGTTGCTGTTTGCTCGGTCGGGAAGAAATTAGGAGGTGAAGGGTTGTTGGTGGTAATTATTTAGTTGGTTTTTTTTCTGTTTGTTTAAAAATCATTAATAGACGATTTGGATGAGGTTGGGCACGCGCGGTTGAATGTATATAAAGGAATGTGACCGATACAGAAGAATTCTTAACCTTGATCAGCCTAGAAAAGGGATATTTTGAAGAGTATCAAAAAGATT